TATATATATATAAAAATAAACTTTATATGTTAATAACAAACTACTTTTGCCTGCCGTTTTACTTGTGCGTTGTGTGCCAATATTTCCATTTATGTTAGAAGGAACACTCCTCGTATATATGAAACACAAAACGGCCATTAAATATAAATCAATTCAACTAATCAAAGTAAAATTTAATCCGATAGAGCTATCAACTGTATATACTTAAAGTTTTAAATATACAATCAAATAACTTGACATTCCTTTTCCCTTTTATTCCATCTCAAACAACCCTTATACTCAAACTTACAAAAAAAAGGTCTGTGTTCGTTCGGTAATCGCCGTATATTTTATATTTTAATAAAATTGTAGAGTAAAAACAAAGCTAATTCTTGTATTGATATTTTATGAATAAGAAAAAGAAAGTATAAGTAACAGCTGTTACGAGAAATCTATCATTATTTAAACATCTATATCAAATGTCAAGATCAGTTTGAGCCTCTAACGCACACTGGCGAAGAAGCTCTCGTTCCTCCTCTCACTATTGTGTAAGGATTGATGTACTTTAACTATGTTAGCACGAGTATCAATTAATATATTTTTGTTAGAACCTCCTTTTGAAAATGTGCACTTTTGGGGACAGGAAAATATATACAGGGTCATTTTTAATTTACTGAAAACCTTTTGGGAATATACTATTTGCATCATAAGAACAACATCTGTAAGAAGAAAAAATAATATTTCTTAAATTTTTATTTTCATACAAAAATAAAAATATTTTTTTTGCACCTTCGAAACTTTAAAATTCTAGCATCTGGCCAAGTTTAAATGAGTAAGCGCGGCTTCCTACACCCCTCCACCCCTCCCCCTCCACCGGATACGCACTTTCTTTTGCTAATGCTGGACTATTACCGTTGAGGGGTGCAATAAAAATATTTTTTTTTGTTAAATTTAAGATATATTTTTTTTTCTTACAGATGTTGTTGTTATGTTGTAAATAGTGTATTCCCAAAAGGTTTTCAGTAAATTAAAAATGATCCTGTATAATAGTTCTTTAATGGATTATATTCTATTTAAATAAATGAAGAAAAAAAAAACTTTTTTTTAAACATAGATTCTCTCGTATAATGCAATATTGATTTTTTATACTATCGAAACTAATTTTCGTATTTAATATCAGACATAATTCAAAGAGTTTTAAATAATCTTTTGCAATTTTACTTGCTAGTAAAAGTTTCATTAAAATCGTTACGTGGTTTCGAAACCTGATGAGGACGAACAAACAAAAATATCAGATAGTAAATTGCTATGGTATAGTGTGGTGTGGTCTGAGAGCAATATAAATTACTTATTTCAAAAATACAGTTTTTTAGAAGCATTCTTCAAATCTAACACTATATTTGATTTAATACTCGTAGTGACATCAATACTCTTAGCCAGCGCGCATGATCTAAGGCTGAGTGTATTTGCTTAAAATGTTTACAGATTAATGGTTCCCCGGCGACATGTAGAATGTTAAAATTTAAATGATTTTAATAATATAAAAAACTAAATTACATAAACAAAAACCCGTCTGCGTAAAAAGCGAACTAATAAGATCCAAACAAGTTGACGTACAAAGTAATAACTATATATGTCTCCGACTGCATAGTTCGTTTTTTACGCTGTCAGATTTTTTGTTTATGTAATTTGATATTAGTTTTGGTTTTTTGGTTTTGGTTTTTTAGTTTTGGTCCGTTAGAAAATTGGAGTTTTATTTACAAATTGTTATGTTCAATTATTTTTAAACTAAGATGTGTATGTTTTTGTGACTAACTCTAAACATTTTAATACCCTACTCGGTAGGTTTGGAAGATATTTTTTTAAGACACCTTTTGTGCCAAAAATCCATCATTTTATTTTTTTATAATCAGTATAACACTCGAGTTATCAAGATGAATTTAACGACGTTTAGTTAATCAACTCTATAAAGCCGTTTACTAATTACGGAGAAACATAGGGTCGGACATACATAGTACGCACATACAGGTCAAACACTATTACACTAATTTTGGACTTCGCAGCATTCGGATAATAAAATGAAATAAATGTTGAATTAAACATAGAATATTATTTACTCAGTACCAGTCTGGCTATCAAAGTTCATCTTTATATAAGCTGATATAATAAGGGCAAAAAATTAAGAATATTTATTAAAGTATGTACAAGAAGAACAGGTTTAAATATTTTTAAGTTATTTTTTCGTAACAGCTCGCAATGTCACTGAAGTCAGTCCCGGAAATCAATTTACTTGTTATCAAATTATTGCTGCTGATAAAAAAAGATGATTTCTTAGAATTGTATCGTAAAATTAAATGTTATTCTTAACAGATAGTTTACTTTTAAGAAGAAGGAAAACATCATTCAAAGTGCAGCAGAGCATTTCCTAGGTGCGATTAATGATGCGAAACATCGTACGCAGGCCGTTTGCTCGCCACGCGCAATGTCGGTAACCTTATGGTACATTATGTAACCGGTCCATCTTACTACAACTGTTGTTAATTACGTATATTTTGATATGAATTGAAATCTGAATAGGCAGTTATTAAAGTTAGGACATAAACACATGTGCTACGATGAAGCATTAATAATTTTATTATTTTATAATAATCATATTAAAATAGTATATACAACAAAAAATATTAAAAATTTCAAATAAACCCATAGGATAACCCGATTTTGTCTTCATCGCCATCTATTCGTCCCCTCCATAACTGTTCCAATAATACATACTTCATTTGCTGTATTTAAAGACTTGTACGTACATCTCAAATTATTACGAAACTCTCATCCCCTACCTGTCCAAAATATATTAATGAAACTACGTATATCCAAAACTTCATCGTATTTCAAAGAAGAAATAGTATAAAGAATATTATCATACATAATATAAAGAAATCAGATGGCTCTAATTCGGATAATTCTTCGAGGAATTTTAATTTTCCTGAATAAAAACTCATTTTACATTGCGAAGATAACAAACTACTTTTTGTAGTGAACTAAATACATATTAATTAATTTATCAATATCGATATTTTATCGAATCGGATGTTTTTGATACCTAATTTTTTCTTATATGTATCAAGCACATACGATTGCATGCCGGCGTTAAAAACACATTCTAAGATTATACAAACTAAAATGAATGAGTTTTACAATCGCATCATTAGCGTTGGAATTTACCACCTACATTAAAAAAACCTTAACTCTTCAAAATATCCACGTAGAAGTAAATATACGGTAACATTTTTTTTTGTCAAGACATTACCACACAACACCATCTAGTTCCGTGGTAAGCTACGAGGCTTGTGTTATGGATACCAGATAGTTGATACATTATACATATATAACTTTTAAATACATACATATTATAAATATAAACACCCATGACTGAAGTACAAATATTCGTGCTCATCACACAAATGAATGCCCCCAGCGGGACTCAAACCCGCGACCGCTGGCGCAGCAAGTAGGGTCATTACAAACTGAGCCAAGCGTGTCGTCATATGTCAACATTACATAATGACATTCTGCTAACTTAATTGGTCTATCTTAACCTTTAGCCACGTATATGTTTATTAGAATTACTCTCATCTGTCATCTGACGTGTAAGGCGTTGAAACGATGTCACTGCCATCTGAATGTTTCTTTGGAATTCGCGTTTTTGCCCACGTATATATAAAGCTTTTTTCATTACAGTATTGTTTTTCTCATTATTAATATATTATATTAAAAACAAAAATGCCCGTATACTGTTTTCAATTTTGATTATTATTCCTAATGTGTTTTTTTGCGTATTTGTCCATATCTAAAACTCATTTGGGAATGATCGATTCGATTTAGTCCAAAGCTAAAATGCCAATAGCTTAGCTCTATTTTTTTAAATAGTAAAACTTAATGAAAAATCTTAAGAATAAAGAAGTGCAGGAAACCACGAACCACTAATACTTGCTGTAAATTTTATACTAACAGTAACTAATTATCAAATGTAATATTACCTTAGTATTAAAAAAAGACTTAGTGCCTTAGCATCTTGTAACTTACTTTTTGATACCGACTATAGGGGGACCTGGTGGGTGTCACCTATTTATTTTAAAAGATCGAAGGAGGAAAGACGAAATATTATACTTTAATCCAACAATTAAACCTGGCCCAGTGGAGTGATTTTAATAGCTTAGCTATATCAGTTGTAGTGCTACAAAAATGCTTATGAAACAGTAATAATATTTGCTATCATAATAGTATTACGTGTATAATATGAGTATGAAATCGATATAACATTATGCTATTAATTTGATTGAAAGTATGAGAAAAACGTGGAACAAAATATGAATAAGCGAAATATTTTAAATAATTTATAATTTAGGTACTTATTTAATTTACTAATTTTACAGAATCGGGATAAATTAGCAACCCTTTTTACTTCTTACACAATGGTACTAACTACTAAGTCATTGCTACACTGATGAGCGCAAACTGTGCCTTATTATATAACTACAGACCACTATAAACTTTTGTGTTTTATTACTGTACTAATAATATCCAATGAAAATTTTTGTCTGTTACTAATCTGAGGGTGATATCAATTCTTGTAATTATATAAGGAAAAACAATAATTTAAAATAGTTATTAGAAACTACCTGAATATTTAAGTGGTTGTCATTTTAATTATTTAATTAGAAATAAATATTTTTTCCCAAGTTATCCCTAATCCTTTTTATTATTTAAAACATTTTTAACCTAAAATCTTATTTATATTTTAACACAAAAATTAACAAAAATAAAAATTCTCAAAATGACCTGATGTAGCAGATTCAGCATATTGCAGCGACAAATCGGGTATGAAAGTGTGATGGCTCAGGGCAGAGCGCGAGTAAGTGGCAGGGGTGAAGTATATAAGTGAGCGCACTACTACCACTCTGGCATAGTTCAGAGACACCACGTGCGTCGCTGCCGCATAAAAAAAAATCACAAAAATAACAATGAAAGTACTGGTAAGTTCACTAAATTCATTACAGTAATTCATCTGCCATTGGTAAGGAGATATTGACGATTGACTAATTTTCTTTTCGCCTTGTAACTAACCTTAATTTATAGGTCAGTGGGTGAGCGGCTTTTTATTGAAATATTGCTATTTGAGGATTTCCGCAACCATCTGTTGCAAGATGCGCCATCCAATAGGGTCGGTAGACGAGTCGGTTGTTGAACTTTGACATAACGTCGGAATGCCTGCACCTAAGTGTGGCATTCTATACTCGTGTGGTCGCGACTTTTGGTCTCAATTCACTTTTAACATTGGTCTCACTTTCAATAAGTTTTCCATACAGTTGTGTAACTTCACTTAATGATTTATTTATATATTTAAATTTGATATTCTGTTCAACTTTATATTATAAAACTGATTATTTCTTACTAGTTGATATTTAAATTTTTGATGTCGTTTATTGTTTTATTTATTTATTTGCAAATAATATGTTGTTAACAATAACAGTACAAAACCCTAACAATTTCATTGAATATGAACTCTAAAACATCATATATCACTATCATCGTAATCTTTTCATAACAAACTTACTGTAATAGCACTAATTATAATCTAATATAACGTCATAACTGTATATTACGTGTTAAATGAAGAAAAACTTTAATTTTACTTTAAGTACAAAACGAGTTGATTTGATTTTATTAGCGGCTTTAAACACCGGCATTTCTTGTATACGCCGTAATTCATATGTAACTGCTTGTAAGTTTTGTTATACAAACACTTACGACTTGTTCGTCTAGTCCAATTGCATAATTTATTTTTGTGGGTCATTAAAAGTTTTATCTTATGAAAATATTACATTACATATTATCGTTAGCGTCTTGTTGATTGCAATCTAGTCTACAACTGTTAGTCATATATTCTGCCTGTATAATTAGATAGATTTTAACAGTTTCAATGTTTCTAAAACATGATTGAATTTTACTTTCTGAGATTTACGCGAATACTTGACATTTTAAATAAAACTATCTTTTCGGATTTTTTCGCGAATTTATTTTGATTTTTGGTTCCCGACGTTTCGAATGCTTTACAGCATCCATGGTCACGGGAGAGACTGTGGTGTTACATGTCTTGAAGGTATAGTTGTCTACAAACAAATAAATTCGCGAAAAAATCCGAAAAGATAGTTTTATTTAAAATGATTGAATTCTTTCTTCGGAGAATTTTGTCGAAAATATTCGGAAGGAATTTTTATTATCTGACAAAGTTTGAACATTCAATTATTGTGTATCCTATAGTTTGGTCGGTTTATTTTTTATATATGTAAGTATTAATGATTCATCCTACACTTTTGCATTGCAATATCTTGGTTGATGTTTCACCTATTACCTAATCGGTGTCATCATAAATAACTTATACCTACGCCAAATTTAATATGTAAATAATGTTCGCGACCTTGACATATAAGCCTTAGACCCTTTCTTGGCATTTAATCAGTATGTGCATTTTAATAGGATCCATATTTAAGATAGAGGATGATCTTTATTAGGCGTCTTTACGAATATTTTCTTAGTTTTTTATTTGACAGTAATAAAATATTTAATATTTTTACTATATATATATATATATATATATATATATATATATATATATATATATATATATAGACTACTAATTATTTGAAAATTTGAATGAGTTTAAAAAGTTTCTTCAAATAACTTTGTTAGGTCATATTAGTCACGTTTGCTTTTAAGTGAGTTTGTTGTGTAACTGTAAAATATGCATGACGATGTTCAATGTTAACGCGTAGCTAAAGATGAGATCTGAAATAATACAATGCAACAAGTGTCCATGTAGCCAATTCACTGTTCATGTCTCACTGGGACCTGCTTTCGCCCAAGCGGTGTAACGAAGCGGCGTTGTGTCGCAATCCGTACCTATTGTATCCGGCCGCGAGATAAGGTATCTTACGACATCGAGAATATGATTAAGCTCCTCACTGTCTGACATCATTCTACCTCATTATTCCTCATAATAATTATATATCATTTTCTCGGGGCAAATAGTTTTATGGAATTTTAAAAAAAACTTACATTTGACACTTAGACATAAAATAGTTTGATATATTAAATAAATGAATTATGTATTAATAGTATTCAAGTACAATATAGATAAGGTATTTTTTACATTTGTTTTTCAGGTGGTTTTATCCGCTGCTCTAGCGCTCACAGTCGCTATTCCTCAAAGAAAGCTTTCCTTAAAGCCTGAGGGTTTAGATGACCAACAAACTGCTGAGCAGAATTACAACAACTACCCACAACAAGACTATAGGCAGCAACAACAAGAATACAGACAGCAACCACAGGAATACAGACAGGCGAAACCGATTGAAGATTTCAGACCAAAGGTTCAAATAGAGACCACTACATTCATTCCTATCATCCACTTCGACAAGGAACAAGGCACTGATGGCAGCTACAAAACCTCGTAAGTGTTTATTTTAATTTTTTTTATATATCTGTGCTATTATTTATTATATATTTATTGTAATTAAATTATTATCATAATAAAATAATAAAATATTATAAATCTATCCTTAGAGAATTACTTCAAATTTTTATTTAACGTTTTTCTTAATTTTGCACTAAATTATATTAATAGTGTTTAATTATTATTATTATTCATGATACATTTCAGTAGTAACATAATTTTGTTTTCTCAAAATTAAACCAATTATAAATTAAACAAGGTCCTAAGACCAGTATCTTTTCTATTACATAAATATGACTTCATTATGAGTTTCACTTTCGCATATTATCTGTACAGATAAATAAAATTGAAGTTTCTGTTTGTTATGTCAAAATAATAGCTTTTTACTAAATTCATATGGTATTATATACGGTACTTATAAGAAAAATACAATTTTTAAATTTCCTGTTTATTCCGGCTCATCTCCAAAACGGCTGGACCGATTTTGACGGGACTTTCACCGGCAGATAGCTGATGCTATAAGGACTAACTTAGGCTAATTTTATTTTAGAAATAGAATTAGGGTTCCGCTTAAAAAAATAAAACGTACCTAGGGACACACCCGAGCGTAGCGATCGTAAGTTGTTAGTTGTCAATAATATAATCTATACAAATAATAAAATTGTAACTAAGCCGAATCTGTACATTAGATATTTTTTTGGAAAATCTTATTGAAATAGACATTATTATCGATACAGAGGCTGAATCTATAGCTTTTAGATTTTTGTCTGTCTGTCTGTCTGTTATCGCATCACGGAAAAACCACTGGAGGGATTTTGATGAAATTTGGTATGATGATAGCTGCTTATCCGGGTCAACATATAGGATACTTTTTACCGCGGGATAATATCTCATTTCTGAGAAAAAATACAAAAACTGTAAAGTAAGAGTATAGTAACATAGCAAACCTAAGAATTTGGTTTTCGCTCATTTGAACGCGGGCGGAGCCGCGGGCAATGCTAGTTGGTACATAAATTAAAATCCGGTCGCTTTTGTTAGCGTGGAAGTGTAATGACGATACGTAACCAATTTTTAAACGATAGCTATAATAAAATTATTTAATTTTAAAAACTAAACTGAATTCACACACAATTGCTTATAATTTCTTTATTATTTTATCATTATATAACGTCATTACATACTCTCTTTACGCATGCTATATGCCTATAACTTTATTAATGAATATAAATAATTATAAAATAATATAATAAATTTATATAATACATTCATAAATGCATATCTTCTACATAAATTAGAGTAATCATTAATATAATATGATTATTTTGCCACAAGTTTTTCTAAATTTAGCTACTTAAGTGTTGTAAATAACGTGATATATTAAAAAAAATAGACTTTCTTTACTATGATATTATAACTGTACCCCTGTCACTTGTGTTATCTTTTATTCCTAAAGCAATGAAGCAATCGACGTAATATTCTGCCTAGAGGTATTTTATAAACTAGAATGTGACATGGAGTATTTTATTTAACATTTTTATCTCAGTTTAAGTTCGATTGTCGAAAAGATACCTATGGTATCGCTTAACTCAAGCACCTTCACTAGAATAAAATAGGATTTATTCGCTAGTACTGCCTCGGTGGTGTAGTGGCGAGGTCCTCCGGAGTATGAGTGACAGGAATAGAGAGTGCACTTGTGTCTGCGCGTACACTTATGCACTATGGCTAGTCTCAATGAGATTGGCCGCCGTGGCCGGAATCGGTCAGGAGAACATCATCATTCGCTAGTATTAAGTATAAATTCATGTCAAAATCATAAAACATTATGTACAATATCTAAAACACAAATCCTGTTTTTTAAAGGTATGAAACCGGTAACAAAATCCACGCTCAAGAAGAAGGTTATCTTAAATCATTTGGTGAGAACGAAGACCAAGTTTCAGCGTTGGTACAACAAGGCTCTTACTCTTACACCGCACCAGATGGCCAGATCATCACCGTAGAGTATACTGCTGATGAACATGGCTTCAGAGTTAAGGGTGACCACATCCCAACCCCTCCCCCAATCTCTCCTGAAATTCAAAAGGGTCTTGACTTGATTTACGCTGGAATTAAGGCTAACCAGGTAATTTTTTGAATATCAACCTTAAAACATTTAGAGAAGATTATTTTATTTTTATTGTAATATAAAACTCATAGTAATATCATTTTAATTTTTATCATAATATTTTTTAAATGTTAGATGTGTTTTTTATTAATCGAAAATTTTATTTCGACAATATGTACCTTACGAAAATTAAAAAGATATTAGATATTACTAATATGATGCTATAATTTTTTTAGGAAATAGAAAAATATGTATTAATTTAAACAAAACATTTAAAACCTAGTCTGTAGTTTTTCTATATGTACTAAAGATATCGTAATAAAATATATATACTAATCTGATCATATATTTCTTAAATTGTTTTATAAAACATATCATCTCAAAATTTCAGGAGCGTAACGCTTTGGAACTTAAAAACAATCCTGAGTCCGCCCGGTCACTTGAAGACAAAGCAGCCCTCGACTATAAAGGTCTCTACTACCAGCATTAAGTACAGTGTTTCCTGACAATAAATCCAGAGACATTTCTATCAAGCAATAGAGTAATAGTGATGTCATAGAATATGACTAATAACCTGCAGTGCTCTGTGAGCATACTTAAAGTCATTCGTTTATAGTATAATTAATACAAAACTAAAACAATAGATAGTTTATAAGAAGCAAAACCATGGAAATGTACTTTTATGCTAGTAATTGTTATATTGGTCAGACTGTCGTGCAATGCCATTTAAAACCTTATATTGGTCTAAATATAGGTAATTTTAAGTATATTTCTTTTCTTAGATACCGCAATATTGAAGCCAGCGACTCCTTTTTGAATATAATACTCATTTTGTGATCTAAAGTAACGAATTTGTTTGTTGGTTTCTGTTAGAACGTAATGTTCAACTCTTGAAAGCCAGTACTTTAATTGTATGGACATAATCTTTATACTTTTGTACATATCGCTATGTAACTTATCACTAATTTCGTATTAAAATGATAAATAATATATGTTTTTATTTTTCTAATTGGCTTTTACCTTTTCATACTGTTTGTTATTTTTACATAGAAACTTCTGATCATAGAAGATTAGAAAATGATCTGTATCATTCAGTTATCATTTGTTATAAACTAAATTTGAATTCTAAAATAAACTTGTATATTTTAGTCCAATTAAAAATATAGGTAAATATTTAAAAATTCATGATTTTTGTTAGTCTGCTCCTTTCTTTTTATGTCACTATCAACTCACCCTTGCTTCCCTCGGGTTTGTCTTACTTCCCTAGCTTGCTTCCGCATACAAACTTTCATCCCCATTCTCACTCCCTTAAGGAATGATGTCCAGGATGAAAACTATTTCACTCACTCACATATCATATGATGAGATTTAAAAAAATCTTATTTTAGTAAAAAAAAATCTTTTTCTTCTATACAAAACTTGTCGTGACAATAATAAACACGAAAAAAATTATCCAATTTGGTGCAGTCGATCGGAAGTTATACGTTTACTATAATGTATTTATATAGATAATAATAATAATAATAATAATTTTTATATAACTCAATCATAAAAGAATAACTAAGTAATTTCATTTTTTGCGTTTTTTTAACACATTGCTGCATTTGGAAGAAAATCTGTCCAACTGTTTAAAAGATTTGACTTTTCCTTATAAATTTAATATAAATAATATTTTCCTCCTGACATATTTCGGCCATGATGCCAACTCTGAATGAAACTAGGAATGTGCGCTGGATACATTATAGTATAGTGGTATAGTGTACACTGAACAAGTGTTCACATAAATTCAAGTGAACTCTTTATTCCTCATCTCTAAAACTCTGTTTGGACGACAATTCAATATGACCGGAGAGCTCAGGCGCAGGAAGATTTTATGTGCTCTTCAAGGAAAGTGGTGAAACACCGCCAACTTCCCGATTCCGAGCTGTTACTGAAAATTTCACTAAAACATCTAATAATTATGCTTGGCTAGGGATTCGAACCTAGGACCTCCAAATTAAACCATAATATGATAAATACCATAAACTATAATCTGTTCCGAATACTGCAAAATTTGAGTTAGATATGTATTTAAATCTTCTTTAGTCTTATTCTATCGACTTTGATGAGTAGTTGTCGATTATGATAATATTTTTGTAGTAATCTTATAAATGTATTATTTTTGGAGATTTACTGCTATTTGCAGTACATTTAAAAGTTCTACTATTCACATCCTGGGTTTGTCATTATTCAAATCAAAGGTACCAAATTATCTCATGATATTATTTTATATGACACTAGCGGACCATATTTAGTTACACTTTAACTTAATAGAATATTGTTGACGACACGATGAATAAACATACAATAAGAAAGAATATAATTAAAAGTTGTGTACGCCGAAAAGAAAGAAAATTTGTAATATAGACAGTAAACTATATTTTTAATTTTATTTATCAGAGTAAAAATTTAAATATAAATGAATAAAAATTTGTGTTGCAATGCATGTTGGCTGAGAGGATTGTTTTTTGAGTTATCAGTTTGGTAAAGGATTTTATGTCACAGTAGGAAATGAAACAAGTTTCATCAGTTTTAAAGTTAGCTTTTTAAAATAAAATTTTGTCATCCATAAAGTAGAAGCTAATCTAGAGATCCCTTATATAGATGATAGCTTATGGGTTGTTGATGAAATCGGGCATCAATATTTCTTTGCCAGTTGTCAGCTAAAAATAGCGGAAAAGCGACAGAGACAAAACGAATTTGCGGCCAGAAGTTTTCTATATTAATTGAAATACGATTAATGAAATTATATATTTATAACCATTTTACATTCCATTATAATATTCAATAATGTTATAATTGTTTTCCATACAAATTCAAATTGAAATAAAAAACGGGTATTGGCCGCATGTTTGCTTTCTCTCTTTGTCAATTACTCTTTGTCTATTCTCTACGAGTCTACGTCTATGAAGTATACTATATGAATATGTAGCTAAATGATCATGTGTCCACTGCAAGAAGCTACAATAATAATACAATTGTTAAGGTCAAACATTCTATCGACGACATTGTTATTTTCCGTACCCGTAATACTTTATCGTTTACACTTAAATTTTCATTAGAATAAAATTTTCTGACAATACGTAAAATATAGTAATTTTTTTAATTATTGTTTTTTTTTTATATTTTTACTTTCGTAATATTTTTCATATAAAATAAACCGAAGTAGACATTTTAAAAGAAAAAAATTAAAAAAATATTGTGTTATTAATTCAATTGTACATTCATAAGTAATAATATAAGTATACACGGCGTTTTTCCGTAATTTTATTAAAGTAATAAATAAATATCTAATCTATACTAACATTATAAATGTGAAAGTTTGTGAGTATGGATGTTTGTTACTCTTTCACGCCAGAACGGCTGAACAGATCTGGATGAAATTTGACACAAAAATAAATTATAGTCTGGAATACCACATAAGCTACTTTCTATCCCGGAAAAATGTACGGTTCCCGTGGGATAGGTTTGCTTTTGTTTTCCTAGAGGCGAACCCTCGCTTCGCGAGGGTGAGCCGCTTGTTTATCATAATCTAATTTCCAGACATATAGACCAAGAGAGAGGCTTACAATCTAATGTTTTTTTTTTTTATTATAAGAATTTCTTTAATGATGTATTCTCATCTTTAGTGTTTGTGGAATCTTGGAAGTTATTAGGAATCTTATACTAATTACAAGTAATTAAAATACTAAGATTATGTTAAAGGATAAAATATGGGTTTATAAAAACATGCTCTATGTTTTACTCCTTATTACATTTATATTGTGATTCGTGATTTATTATAAATTTTATTATATTAACAGAATTAAAAAATTATATAAATAATTAAAATTTATAAAAAAATATAATCCTATTACAATCTAAAAGTAAAATGATAACAATAATTTCTCTTGAAGGATATATGTGCTGCTTTATTATATGTATAATATATACAACACAATAAACAATAGTTAAAGTTAAGAATTAAAACACTATATCTACTTAATAGTAAAATTCAATAAGAACTCTATGTTCTAAATCGACACCTCCAAGGAATAACTCCATGAGCTTTTTTGCATTTATGAAAGATTCGGAATCTGTAGACAGGAATACACTACAGATTTTTCCTAATGATATTAAATTCACCAAGATATCATGTACACATTTATCGCAGATAAATATACAAACGTCAAAAGTATTGTAATGCATCAGTATAAAAGATTTTTTCATCATTTAGTTTTGTAAGATGCACTTACGGAATTATTGCCGTAAATTATTTTTATGAGATTTTTGAGGCGAATTTTTTCAAGTTTTTATTTAATTTTCAATGTTTGTTTGTTCTGGTCAAATCTTGCAATTAAAATTTAAAGCAGTTATCCTCAACCAATTGAGCTGAAATATTGTATATACGTTTAGTTTGGATGACAATGCATGGTTAGCTAAGTGACGTCATTCTAATTCCAATATGGCGGACTCCCATAGATGGTGGACTATGTTTTTTAATGAATCCCTATCATATGGATATGAAATAAATTAATAGTAAAAGAAGTTTTTAAAAACAAGCTTTTTTTAAATGCTCTAAAAAAGAAGTTAGATAGTGTGATGTAGATAAACAAGAATATAATATTCAAAAAAGGTATGAGGTAGATGGGTTTAATTTAATTTAAAGTTTCTTTTTTTCTTTTTAAATCATTTAAATAAAAGCTTGTTTTTAAATCGTTTTTTTACTATTAATTTTTGTTCAATTATTTTAAATATATGCATTCCATAATGCACTAGCACTATACAGCATATAGGCACTAACACTTTTTAAGTAAAAAATAATCGGCTAATTTATTTTTGGGACAAAATTATAAGCAGGTTTTTTAGTTTCATCGAATTTTTGATAAGGTTTAAAGTTGTTCAATCATTTAATGCATCTTTAGTGGTCCTAACCCGTTTCCTTTTCGACTTATTCCCAAAAAAAAAAACAAGCCGATATTTAAAATATGCTGCAGTTCCCCTATTATTTATTCAATATTTCTATTCCAGATATTAATCACTATTTGTTTGCTGTAAAATAGCTTGCAAATAAAGTTATACAAAGATCGATAATTGAAACAATTATAACAAACTAGTGAGGAGATGTGTATAAAATAAACTAACTAATTTATACGTTTTGGTCAATGAATTACTATTCTCTTTCTATGCAAATTCCATATTTAAAATGCAAAGTGCTCCAAATAAAAGCTATTAATTCAAGGATACAGCCTTATCATTTTCAAAGTTGCAAGAATAAGGAGCAACAGTAGTTGCAGCAAGCATAATTCTTATGGAAATCAAACGATTATTTTACTTAATGTAAATTTATTCCCATTACGGTGATTGTACTTATTTTATTAGTGTCATCAAATACCACACGCTAAACAGGATTCAACGATCACTTATGGACAGTTGGCAGGCTTGTATAGTATTTCTAAATATATCCAT